TGTCTGAGGGAAGGTGGGACCCTCACCTGAGCAAACGTGTCTGCTGCCTCTTCCTGATGGATGGGTTGGATTCAAAGACGTGCGGTCGCTTCCGTTTCTTCCCCGTTGCCACGGCAGCGGCTGCTGCCATCCCGACAGGGCCTGGAAATCCAACCACAACCGGGGAATCAGCTCAGGCAGCTCAGGAACCGGCCAGAAAGGACGTTGCCATTGTGTGGATGTGTCCCAAGGCTGCCCATGTGACACAAATTCTCTCCTCTCCAGCATCCCCGAGGTTCCATCAAAAGGCTCCGTTCCCCAGATCCCAGCTCAGTCCCAGGGAAAGTCACGTGCTTCAGTCTAAAGTTTTCCTCACAAACACGTAATTCTGTGTTTTATCTTCCAGACACACTGAGAAAACGCCCCAAGACTTTAAATAAGTGGCTGAACTGAGGAGATCCCGGTGGCCTGGGAGAAGGGAGCTGGGTAAAATGCCAGGAATCCTGCTTGGACACCTCAACGGGAGCCTGAGGCTTCTCCCCAAGGACTGGTTCTAATAGCAAAGAAACCAAAAATCCTGAATTCCTGGAAGTATCCTACAACAGTCCCCCGAAGACCACCCGGTCCTGAAAAGCCTGTGTGCTAGAAGGGAAGGGGGAAAGAAAAAAACCCTGCAGGATGGGAGGCTGGAAAAGTCATAAGTGAGGGCACGGGATGGTCAGCGGGGTGGTGGAACCTCCCAGGGCTGGTCCAGCCCATCAAGGGCTTTATTCGCCCAGCGAAGTCCGATCCCAAACTCCGAGGGATTCCTTGACACTGCATTTTCCTCCAGGAATGGTGGATCCACCACAGGGCCAGTATGGAGGCTTCACTGGAAGGGATTTGGGATTCCCGAATCCGTTCCCAGCCCAGCTACGCCGGGATCTTTTGTGGCATTTCCCTGGGAGAAGCCAAACCCGGGAGCTCCCGGCTCAGCCAGGCCCGGGTTATTTTTGCTGTTGTTTATGTGGGTCTGAAATCATTCTGCTCTTGGACAGGTTGGGGGTTTTAATTTCATTATTTGAGGCAGAGTTTTACCAGGGACCCTTTTTTATTGTCCAAACCAGCCTCGTATTCCCAGTACCTCCATGTTACACCCAGGGAAAGCACAGGAGATTCAGGGAGCACCTGGAATATTCCGAGGGATGGCATCAACCTCTGCCAAAAAATTGTTTCTTTTTTGCCAGCTTTAATATAATTTCTTTAACATAATTGCTTTAATATGATTGTTTGATATAGCACATTATATTATCTTTGTAGTTTTAGCTCCTATACTGTGTAGGAAATAATTCTGATTAAGATATTTTTTGTCTGATCATTACCACGATAAATCATATATATTTACATATATATTATATATATTATACATATCATATAATAGATAATATATAATAACACATTATATATTATATATTACATAATTATACTATTATATATAATTTTATATATTTTCATAAGGATATAAATAATACATTACAATATAAAAAACTTAATATAATCAATTGATTAATCAATAAATGAATAATAAAATTAATGAATCATAATTAATAGTATTAATTTATACAACATTAGTATATATTGATATGATTATGTAATGTAAATTATATTATTAAATTATATATTATTTATATACTCATATGAATATATGATAGATAGTATATAATATAATATATAACAGAATAATATTATGTTTTATTTAATATAATAATATAATAATATATGTATATATTTATAAATGATATAAATATAACTATATTGTTATGATTAGATAATGTAAGTTATAGTATTAAATTATATATTATTTAAATACTTATATGAATATATGATAGATAATATATATAATATAATATATAACAGAATAACATTATATTTTATTATAATATAATAATATAATAATAGATGTATAAATATATTTGGAAATAATATAAATAAAAATATAATGCTATGATTAGATAATGTAAGTTATAATATTAAATTATATATTATTTATATACTTATGAATATGTAATAGATAATGTATATAATATATTACAGATTATTATATTTATTCTAATATTCTGATATAATAATATTTATTACATACTAAATATATTATATATTACATATAATAAATATATTATGTAATATGTACTTTATAATAACATAATATTATTATATTATGCTACATTATTATATAATATATAAATTATAATGATATAATATTATTATAATATAATATTATAATATTATGTTATATATTACATAATTATATTGCGATATTATTTCTATATTTTATTTCTACATATTAATTTAATTATACATTATCTGCCAGCCTCAATGCTGCAGGACAAAGCTGTGCAAAGGCTCAGCCGCCCCTCTGCGACTCCCTAGACTTAAACCACTGACCACGTCTGGGGCTGGGGTTGGCTCCAGGCTCCTCTGGGAGAAGGAGTTTAGAAACCAAGGAGGTCCCTTCTGCCCCCCTCCACCCGTGCCCGTGCCCCGGGCTCACCCGCGGCCGCCAGGTGAGCCGTGACCTCGTCGGCGGCCGTGGAGTTGAGGATGTCGGAGTCGTCGTAGGACGTGTCCTCGGGCGAGGAGGGCGAGTCCTCGTCGGCGCTCAGCATGCCGTGCTCCGTGTAGGTGGCCACGTGCACCTGCTGCACCTGCTGGGCCACGGCGTGCGCCTCGATGGTGGCCATGTGCTCCGCCTGCGCCACGCCGTGCTCTTCCATCCAGAGGCACTGCGGAAGGGAGAGAACCCCGGCGGGGGTTAAGGACCCTGCGGAGGGCAAGGGGGACGGGGATCACCCCCCACGGTGACCGTGGGTGTTCGGGAGAAGGAAACGACACCTGCACCAGGAACTTAAAGAGTTTGGAAAGATCCGCGCTTCCAAAGGACGCGGCCCGGCCCCCACAGGCCGCCATCTTTGCTGGAGGAAAGGTTCTCAGGGATGTCGGAGCCCCTCACGCGCTGCGTTGAAGGGTCTGGTCAACGCTGGGACTTGGTTTTGCCACTTCAAGTTCCAGCTTTCAGGGAAGATGCTCAAGGGGGACACATAATTGCCTCCGACCTCAGTAGCTCAGGGGCACAACTGAGGATGGCAGGACAGAATCCCAAAGTCACTGAGGTTGGAAAAGACCCCTGAGATCACTGAGTCCACCCTGTGCCCCATCCCCACCTTGGCCCCCAGCCCAGAGCACTGAGTGCCAAGGCCAGGCCTTCCTGGGACACCTCCAGGGATGGGCACTGCAAACCTCCCTGGGCAGCCCCTGCCAAGGCCTCACCACCCTTTCCAGCAACAAATTCCTCCTCAGCCCCAACCTGACCCTCCCCTGGCCCAGCCTGAGGCCGTTTCCCCTTGGCCTGTCCCTTGTTCCCTGGCAGCAGAGCCCGACCCCCCCCGGCTCCCCCCTCCTGTCAGGGACTTGCAGAGCCAGAAGGTCCCCCCTGAGCCTCCTTTGCTCCAGGATGAGCCCCCCCAGCTCCCTCAGCCCCTCCTGCTGCTCCAGACCCTTCCCCAGGAGTTCGGGAGGCCACTTTTGTTGCGTTATTTGTTTTGAGTCCAGAAACAGGCGAAATCATTCCAACCCAAGCCCAAACATGACGTAAATCTTATTTATTTAATGCATGCGGTGGCAAAGGAGCAGCTTAAACACTCAGCAGGGCCCTGGACCACACGCCGTGAACACAAACCTGTGCAGAAGGAACAGGACGGGAGGCACACGGATATTTTCAGTCCCTGTCTCCCACACATTTGTGGGAAAGGAACAGCACAACCTGAAGATATTTTCAAGTGGAAGAATTAGGAACGTGAACCCTCAGAAACAGACTCCCCAAAAGCCTCAGGGCAAAGAGGAGAAAGAAAGGAGATGACCGGTTCTAGGGAATGATAAAATACCCCCCCAAAAAAATGTGACCTTCTAAGTACAGTCAGTGAATTAAAGGTCTGGATTGACTGACACCAGATCATGGAATGCCATGGAGGGGTTGATGAGACAGTGGGATACAGACCAGGAAAAAGCACTTTGTCAAGGGGGTTATTTTGACCAAACTCAAAGGAGGTTGGAGCCAGTTTGGGGTTGGTCTCTTCTCCCAAGAAACAAGTCACAGAACAAGAGGAAACGGCCTCAAGCTGTGCCAGGGGAGGGTCAGGTTGGATTTTGAGGAAAATTCTTTCCTGGAACGTGCTGTCCAGCCCTGGCACAGCTGCCCAGGGCAGGGGTGGAGTCCCCATCCCTGGAGGGATTCCCAAGCCCTGTGGATGTGGCACTTGGGGACAGGGGTCAGTGGTGGCCTTGGCAGTGCTGGGGGATGGTTGGAATCTTCTATCCAGGCACACGCTGGAGGAACTCAATCCTGAGGGACAGCAGAAGTGCTGCTGGGAGAGTGTTCCAAACATACCGAGCTTATGGCTCGAGCCAAACCCTCTTCAAACTCCCAGCCCTCCCTAAAAGGCTGCTGGAGCTCCGTGGGGCTGTTGTCCGACCCTGTTTACAACTCAGACTGTAACACTAGAACCACCCAAAAATAGCAGGAATCCAAACAGCCCCAGAGAGGGAGGGACTGAGGCACTGAGGTGTTTTGGGAGCAGGTTGAAAAACAATCAGCCCTATTCTCCTCCCAAGGAACTTATTTTGCCATCGCCACAGAAAAATGGGGGAAAATATCCCAAGCAAACCTTTGCCCAGCACCAGGATTCCCCAAGCCACTGTGCTTTTCCTGACAGGGTTTATTGCTGCTTTTCCCGTTGGAGCGATACAACTCTAATTATTCCTCTTAAAATTAAAATAAAATTAGTTATCCACGGAAAAACACGCTCGGAATATAACTGACAAACTTTCAGCTCATCAGGAGACAAGGCTGTGAGACAAAGGGTGCTTCCATGGGAAGGAAACCTCCCAGTCAAGAGTCAACACCACTGAAACCTTGGTTAGTCATTCCTATATTTGAATTATTCCCAAAGGATTCCCGATTCAAGCCAGGCTTTATGGGCAAACACCCTGGACTGGCAGCTCCTGCAGGTCACCACCCACCCGTGGACGCTGTTGTTGCTCCAGCAGAGCATCCAAAGGGTCTGCACCTGGATTTGAACAGGGATCCAGGCACAGGGGGACGAAAGGAAAGTTGCTCCTGACCAATTTTAGAGACGAGCATTCATCGTTCCAGAAAAGGAATGTCTGTTCCTGGTTTTCTCCAGAAACAGTTTGGGGTGTAAGGAAACCTCAGTGATACAACAGGGCCTGCAAAGACATCTCCTGGTAGGTGGAGCTCAGTCCAGAAGCCTTGGATCACAGCCAGAAGTATTTTTAAAGACAAAGTGCTTTTAAAATAAAAAAAAAAGAGGATAAAGTGCCTCTCCTGACACAGGGCAGCTGCCTCACAACTGTGCCAGAGATCCCTCTGATGTCCTGTCAGCCACCACTGCTGGAGGAACTCCAGAGGCAGGAGGAGCTGGAATAGCTGAGCTGCACCACCTCAAACCAGCAGCCAACGACACAAACTGAACATAAACCCCACAAACTCAACACTAAAAGATGACACAAACCGAACATAAACCCCACAAACTCAACACTATAAAACGACACAGACTGAACATAAACCCCACAAACTCAACACTGAAAGACGACACAAACT